CAAACAGCCTCCTCCTAGCTGGGTCTCCTGCCTCAAGTCTCTCCCCACTCCAGCCCTTCTTGCACAAGTCACTAAAGTGACTTTCCTATAGCACAGGTCTACGTCACCCCCACTGTCCCTCGGTAAACTGCAGTGGCTCCCAAGTCCTTCCAGGATCAAATCCAAAGTCCTCTCTTTGGCATTTAACACTCTGCACAAACCTCACCTCTCAGGGCATTGGTGTGAGGGCCACCCTTGTGACCCTGGACAAGTCACTTAACTCATCTGAGGCTGGTTTACTCATCTGCAAAAGGAGGGGGCTGGACCCAGTGGCCTCCCTTCCACTTCTAAGTCTATGACTCTAGAGTAACAGGGGGACAGACCCACGACAGCCCCTTCCTCCTGGCCATACAAAGATGGACTAAAGCAAGATAACCTCAGCAAAGAAAGTGAGGAAACAAAGTATCAAAACTTTAAAGACCAAAACAGCTGTATCGACCTAGACAACCACAAACTAACATCATCTACGTTTTATTGTGATTTTATTTTCTTAAATACTTCCCAATTACATTATAATCTGGATTATCCCACCAGTGTTTTGCTTCAATGATGACATAAATGACCCTTCTCTCCATCACGAGTTCTATAAAGTTGAGTAAGTGCTGTGATCTGGGTGAATACCTTCCCAAGTTTATAATATTACTAAGATTTCTCTCGGGCATGTATTCTCTTATGTGAGAGAAGCCCTGCATTCTGGGGGGAGGCCTTTCCACATTCACTGCCTCCACAGGTTTTCTCTCCAGTGTGAGTCCTCTGATGTTGAGTCAGTGCTGTGCTCCAGAAAAAGACTTTTCCACATTCAACGCATTTAAAACGTTTCTCTCCAGTATAAATACTACTGTGTTTTGTAAGACCAGACTTCTGAGAGAATGCCTTCCCACAAACACTGAGTTCTTGAGGTTTTATTCCTGTATGAGTTCTATGGTGCTTGGAAAGGCTAGAACTTGACTGGAATGTCTTCCCACATTTATTGCATTCATAGGGTTTCTCTCCAGTGTGACTTCTCTGGTGTTCAGTCAGTGATGTGCTCCAGAAAAAGACTTTCCCACATTCATTGCATTTAAAAGGTTTCTCTCCCGTATGAATTCTGCAGTGTTTTGTAAGACCAGATTTCCGAGAGAATGCCTTTCCACATACACTGCATTGATGAGGTTTTATTCCTGTGTGAGTTCTCTGGTGATGAGTAAGGTTAGAGCTTGATCGGAATGTCTTTCCACAATCACTACATTCAAATGGTTTCTCTCCAGTATGAATAAGACTGTGTTTGGTAAGACCAAACTTCTTGGAGAATGCCTTCCCACACACACTGCATTCATATGGTTTCTCTCCAGTATGAATAAGACCGTGTTTGGTAAGACCAAACTTCGTAGAGAAAGCCTTCCCACAAACACTGCATTGATGAGGTTTTATTCCTGTATGAGTTCTCTGGTGATGAGTAAGGTTAGAGCTTGATCTGAAGGCCTTCCCACATACACTGCATTCATATGGTTTCTCTCCAGTATGAATAAGACTGTGGCTGGTGAGACGACACTTCTTAGAGAATACCTTCCCACATACACGGCATTGATGAGGTTTTATTCCTGTATGAGTACTCTGGTGATGAGTAAGGTTAGAGTTTGATTGGAATGCCTTCCCACATACACTGCATTCAAATGGTTTCTCTCCAGTATGACCGAGATTGTGGCTAGTAATATCACACTTCTGAGAAAATGCCTTCCCACATACATTGCACTGATAAGATTTTATTCCAGGATGAGTTCTAAGGTGCTGAAAAAGACTAGAGTTTGAATGGAATGACTTCCCACATTCATTACATTCATAAGGTCTCTCTCTAGTATGAGTTCTTTGATGTCGAGTAAGTGTTGTGCGCCGAGAAAAAGAAATCCCGCAATCATTGCATTTAAAAGGTTTTTCTCCAGAATGAATCTTACAATGTTGCATAAGACTTGTCTTCCGGTAAAAGGCCTTTCCACAGTCACTGCATTTAAAAGGTCTTTCTCCACTATGGATTCTGTAGTGCTCTGTAAGAAATCGCTTCCGCCAGAAGACCTTTCCACATTCACTGCATTTATAGGACTTGTTTTGACTCTTGATAAGAGCCTGGTGAGTACCATCTGCCTTCTGACACGATGTCTTCCCACATTTAGTCAACTCAGAACACTTTTTTCCTGTATGAATTCGCTGGTGTAAAGTGAGTTCATTTTTTAAAAGGAAAGAATCCCCACTTTCACGAAATTCCTCTTCAGCATGAATTCCATGTTTTCTAATGCGGTTAACCTCAGAATAGTTCTTCTGTGAATGGATTCGATTACATCGTCTTTGGTCTGACTCCAAGCTCCTTCTCTGGTTATCACTCTTATGGGGATCCATTACTACAGACACTCCCTGATGTGGCTCTGGGCTCGAGGTTTTGCTGTATCTCCTGCTTTCAGAGCCTCTGACCGCATCAGCAGTTTCTGTTTGGATGACTTTTCCTTGTCTAGAAAGTTTCTCCTCATTACTCTGCTCTTTCTTTAACCTGCCACAATACTTCCAGGCTTTTTTCATTTTGGAGATGCATGGGTCATCCCGCAAGAGCTTTGGGTGGGATAAGGTTTCCATAGAAAAACTCAACTTTGGAGTTGACTCCTCGGTCTGAGGCTTCCCATCCCCATCTAAAGGAAAGAAAAAAGTGTAAATGTCCTTTTCCTTGGATGAATAAGCTTTTCTGTACACTTCACTTTTCCCGATATTCTGTCTGTTATAAGCAAGGTACATATTTTTTTTCCAAGTGAACTGAAATCAATTCTTAAGGTTTCCAGAATTACTTTGAATTCACCAGGCTTATCCCTTCATTGAGCCCAATATTATATTAGGTGAATATGCCAGAACTGATGCAGATAATGCACAATTAATGAAAATATGAACAACTGCTGTCTCCCATAGACCAATATGAACAAAGTATCTTAAAGTTTTTTTTTTTTTTTTTAGGAAAATTCTTCATCTAAATATCACCCCTGAGAGAGTCATAAGAATGTGATCGTTGGGTCTAAGAAGAGGAAGTTTTGTGGAGCTCCTACACTGCAGAATTCTACTTTGCTTTCCAAAAAGATAATAATTCAAAGTTCCACCCACAATGGAGCAGCATTCCTGTATTCTGAAAGCACCAAGAGAATGTGATCATTTCTATTTGTCCCTGTCAAGTGACTTTGGTATAAAAGGCGACAACATCCAAACAATCTAGAGGAGTGGGGAGAAATTAGCTGTAAATTTGTGTCCGAGGGGCAGCTAGGTGGCACAGTGGATAGAGCACTGGCCCTGGAGTCAGGAGGACGAGTTCAAATCCAGCCTCAGACACTTGACACTAGCTGTGTGACCCTGGGCAAGTAAATTAACCCCACTGCCTAGCCAAAAAAAATATGTCTGGAAAAAGATTTCATGACCAAAAAAGTCATCCCGAGGATCACAAATGTGCCCATTTTCATGAGGTGCCCAAATGTACTGAGTGTGGGCACTCACTCACACACTCACCTGGCCTGCAGCTTCTTAGGACACTATCCACTGGAATCCCATGTGCTTCCCCTGACTCCACCTGAGAGATCACCTCCACATTGGAATCAGCAAGGCCTAGTGAGAGGAAATGGCACAGTGATGGACAGGTAGGGTCACCTCACAGCTCACGCCTCACTGACTCCTAGGAGCAACTGAAGAAGGGCCAGGGAGTCTGGGAGCTGTGGAGGAGCATATACAAAACATGTAAAGGGTGATCTGGTTTCTTTTCCTGGGAAGATACAGGAACAAGACCAAGAATGGAGCTGGGTTCAGAAAGCCAATGAGTTCATTTGGTCCACTCAATACTGAGGTATCTGGGAGCTTTCTTGACTTCAGTATCTGCCCTGGGGCGTGAGAAAGCCTCCCTGGCCTGAACAGACAGCTGGAGGGGGCTCCCACAACGAAGCAGCCGGCTTCCAGACATACAAAGCAAGAGCCCTTCAGCTGGGCCCAGGCACAGCACAAGAACCCTGTCTCCTGGCCTCACTGTAAATAAGAAATGCTTGGTTTTCTTAGAGGCCAAAGCACCAGTGCTGAACACTAGACCCAGCCCCAGCAGAAGGAAGCAAACCACCTTTCAGGGGCAGATCCCAAGTCCCCAGAGGAGCCCCCTTACCCAGGCTGACCAGGTTCCTGCAGGTCTCCAGCATCACCTCCCAGTAAAGCTCCTTCTGGGAGGTGTCCAGGCAGCCCCACTCCTCCCAGGTGAAGTCCACAGCCACATCCTCGAATGTCACTGATTCCTGAAACAAATAAATCTGTGCTTGGCCAGGGACCATGCCCCAGATGGACGGGGGAAGGGAGGTGAAGGGGGCAGGAATGAGAAGGGCTGATTCTTACTATATTCAGGTTTCAGAGTGTTCAAAGCAAAATCCTGCGGAGCATTTACTACATGCCTCAGATTCTGAATCATGTGATAAAGGAATAGTCATTGTCAAGACCATAAGCATTCATGGAGTGTCTGCCCTGTGTCAGGCTCTGTGCTCAGCCCTGGGGATACAAACTAGGGCAAAAGCAGTCCCTGCCCTCAAGGAGCTCACAGTCTAACGGGGGAGACAACAGGCACAGAAACAGTCCTGACAGGGGACAGCAAGGCCCCAGCAGCTGAGGAGACCAGGACTGGGTTCCTATGAAAGGTAGGGCTTGAGCTGAACATTGGCAGATTAAGTCAGTGCCTCCAAGGGGGGCAAAGTGAGGGGAGAGAAGCATTCCAGGCAGGGAGAGAAGCAGAGGCAGAGAGAAGAGATGGGGGGGGTCCTGTGTGAGGAACAGAAATAGGCCAGGCTGGCCGGGCCACAGCAGGCAGGGAGGACTTTAACAGGGTAAGACGTGGGAAGGTAGAAGGGCTCAGTTTGTGCAAAGCCTGACGTGGCAAATGGGGCATTTTATCTGATCCTGGCACCTGGGAGGGGCTCATCCACTGAGGTCTGGGGACTGGCTCTGAGGACAGAGAGCACTGAGGAAGGACCATCTACACTGTGCCCTGAGACACCTGGCAGGGAGGAGGGCAACGCTGCTTACCTGGGGGGGGCCTGCTGGGGAGGAACTCGGGGCCCATGCTGCGCTCCTTCCTGCTCCCCGTTCCGGCTCGCACCCAGGCCCCTGGGGTCCCACGAGGCCGAGCTGGAAAGGAAAAGGCAGCCATGGGGGGCCCTTCCCCCTCCCCCCCACACCTGCCTCTGCCTGGGAAATGCCCACAGTGACACTGGGGGCAGCCTGTCTGTGTCCAGGACTCGGGTCAACTCAACGGGCATTGATGAGGCGCCCACTGCATGCCTCACTGCATTCTGGGTGCTAGAGATGCCAAGGAGAGGGAAAAGCCCAGACTGTGCCCCTCCCCCCAGAAAGGCCAGGTCACGTGATGAGGGAGAGGGCAGTGACAGCAGGGGGCATGAAGGGGTGCCCTGGGCTGGGGAGGTGAGGCCTGGGGGGACAAAATGAAGAACTGGAGGGGGGCAGGAGCGTGGGGGAGGGGAGCGAGAAACTGAACACGAAGGGAGGCCTGCAGCCAGATGGAGGAGTGTGGGAGGCCAAGGGCGTCCATGTCTGAGCGGGGGGGGGGGGGGTTTGGGGAACAGAGGGGGAGGTGAGGGGGAGGGAAGGGAGGGGGGCAGAGAGGGAGGAGGGGGCGGGGCGGTCCCTCCTCACTGACCCCCCCAGGATCCAGGAGCCTTCGCCCCATTTCAGGGACGAGCCAACTGAGGCAGGGAGAGGGGAGGGGGCGGGGGTCCCGGGCGCCCGTCCCCCCTGCTGTCCCCCCTCGCGCCCCCTCCCCTCACCTCGGACCCAGGACAAGCAGCGGAGGCCCCGCAGGACAGAACGTCTCCGTGCTCAGGGATGCAGCCCCAAAGGCAAACTCCCGCGCCTGCGCAGACGCTCCCTCCGCGGGGGACGCGCCCATTGGCTCGTTCGGGGAGGGGGCGGGCCCTTTCTGCTTTTTCTCCCGGGCCACGCCCCCTTTCCCTGTTTCCCGGGATTTGGGGGCGGGGAAATACCTCCCCCGGCACTTTGAGCCAATCAGAGGCGCCGCCGCTGCCGAGGCCCCGTCCCCTCCCCCACTATCCCGGACCGGTCCGGGTGGGAGCTCAGCCCAGTCCGGACTCCGCGCAGACTGTCCCTCTGCCTTCGGGTCCTCCCTGTCACGTGGGGCCGCCCCATTGAGCTGAGAGCGGTGCCCCAACCTCAGTCTCTGGCTCCGGGAAATGGGCCCAGGGCTGCCCTGGGTCAGCGCCAGCCCCCGCGGGGGCCCTGGGCATCTGGGCGCCTGCCGGGGTCACCCCGGGGTCCCCTGGGATCCTGAAGCTGGTTCTGGGGGGTCCAAGGTCCCCCGCCCCGCCGCGCCTTTGGCTTTGCGGGTGCTTCCTCCAGGAGCACCCCCTTCTCCCCAGCTCTGCCTGCTGAGGAGAGACCCCTGCGTTCCCCAAGGGGCGGGGGGAGACAGCAGAGGAAGGAATGACCCCTGACCTCCCCAGACCTGCCCCTCCCCACCAGGTGGGTGGAACCCTCGTCCCTCCTTCCCAGAAGAGTCCCTGGTCATTGGCATTGGTTTACCAAGCTCTGTACACGCCCTGTGTCCTTGGACCTTCACCACAGCCACTGCACAGAGGGGAAACTGAGGCACACTTGTTGCAGTGTCTGGGGCTAGACCTGAATCCAGGTCCCACACTCCCTCCTGCTGCCACCCATGCCCATCCTCAGCCTCCTGACTTTGATGCCATCCCTACTAAGGGTGCCCCCCTCCCCCCTGTCCCTCTCTTCTCCCCCAACATTCACAGCCTGATCACAACATTCAGGGCTCCTGCCTGCTCAAGTCAGACTTGGTGTTGGGCAGATTTCAGGGGCAATATGTTCCCGTGGCCAGTCTTGGGGTCCTTTTCAGCTTTAAACCCTGCAAATGGGCAAAGATGACAAAAATTGTCATAGTTAATGTTGGAGGGGTTGTGGGATGCTAAGCACACTAATATGTGGAGCTGTGAAGTGGTATGACCATTGTAGAAAGCAGTTTGGACTTGTTGGAATAAACAACTAAAATGTCCACACCCTTTGAGCCAGAGACTCCATTGCCAGTCTGGTCCCTTAAGGAAGCCATTGGTAAGGAGAAGGCAGCAGGAGAAATCAGAATGTTTATCGTAGCAACTCTGGTGATTGCAAAGAATTGGAAATAAAATGGAAGCCCATCGATTGGTGGATGGCTAAACAAAGTGAAGTCCGAGAACGTTCGAGAATATTACTGAGCGGTAGGAAATGATGCGTGTGATGAATACGGAGAAGCCTGGAAAGATCTGTGTGAACTGATGCAGAGGGACGTCAACAGAGCCAAGAAAACAGTGTGCAAAGTAACCACAACGGAAATGGGAAGAAAAGCCACCGCCCCATCAAAGTGACCTGAGGAACACTTTAGAATTCCAGGGTGACTCAGAGATGTGAGAGGATACCGCCAACTCCCCCCCCCACGGAGGTGGAAGGCCAAAAGCGCCGCATACTAAGCATGTTTGGGGCTTTCTCAGTGGAGTGATCCCTTCTGCAGATCTTTTCCTCTTTCTCTATTCTCTTGTCTATAAAAAATACTATTTGTTATATGGTACAGTTCTCTGGGAAAGGGAGAGGGAAACTGGGGCAAAGTGCTGATGTAAAAACAAAAGACATCAATAAAAGGTTTGATTTTTTAATGTGTAATAGAGATTTTCAGGGCAGGGGTGCACTGCTCACACGAAAGCTGACCGAAATCTCCCAGATTTTATGGCAAGAAGAGGATCCCCCAGGAATTCACGGTCACCTCCATTGTCTCTCTTCTATTAAGGAAAGGAAGTAGGTTGTCCTGTGACAATCACTAGGGGGATCTCTCTTACTTGTAGCTAGCAAGATTTTTGCTGAGGTCCTCCTTGATCCCTGCTTCTTCCCTGGAAGATAGTCATCTACCTGAGAGCCACCGTGGCTTCAGACAGGGCTGGGGAACAGTCCATGTTGTGTTTGCTGCCTGACAACTCCAGGAAAAAGGCCAGGAGCAGAACAGAGGTCTGTACACAATGTTCATCAATCTGACCAAGGGCTTTGATACTGGCAATAAGGAGGCCTTACAGATCATGACAAAATTTGGTAGCCCAGAGAAGTTCATCAGTATTGCATGCCTGGGTTCTGGATAATAGACGATGCTTTCAAGCTTTCCTAGTCACCAATGGAGTGAAGCTGTGAGCTTCTCCCATGATTTTTAGCAGGATGTTTTCAGCTATGCCAGATGCCTTTAATTAGTACAAAAATGGCCTAATGGTAAAGTGTTTGCCTTGAAAAGGTTACAAGCCAAGATTAAAGAGGAAGTAAAGGTAACAGACTTTTTGTTCCCAGATGATTAGGCACTCAGTGCAGCCTCTGGTGCCGAGATGCAAGAGTCCAGATTGATTCTCAGCCGCTCATCCTAATTTTGGCCTGACAGCCGACACCAAGAAAACAAGTTCTTCACTAGCCAGCAGCCCACCATCCATACATGGAACTATCAGTTACAGCAGATGGAGAAATTTTGAGTGCTATGGCTAAGTTCACTTACTTTGGCAGTATACTTTCCAGAGATATACACATAG